TAAAATATCAACAAACAAACAAGAGTTTTAAAAAAAGATTTTCTTGGAGAAAACTACAATGTATTCTTGGTGTCTCGTTATATATCAACATTGTCATGTTGATAATATAAAGCTGCTTTATTGTGACTTTCATATTGGTTTTCCAGAAAAGTCTTTTTAAATATTTCGTTTCTGAAAAATTAATCTTAATTGAAGCACTTTCTGAATATGTAGTATTCGTAAATATACTAAAAAATAGTTCAGTCCGTCTTGCAAATAATGAAGATAAAGAAGAATAAGCCTTCTTTCCAACTGATACAAGTATCATAGATATGAGTTCTTATTTGAAACGAAGAAGTATTAATAAACAACGTAGTCTGACTTTATGCCATGTGAATCACACTGTGTCTGATCGATCGACCCTTGTCCTAATACTAGTTAGTAGAATACTAAACTGTCATAAGTAGAGACGTCAATAATATATTATAATCATCAAAATAATCTTTACCAAAATATAAATAGTCTTTCACCATAGATCCGTATCAAAACTAATCTTACAGCTCTTAATTTGGAAGAGATTAGTTATTGGTGTGTTTAAAGTTATTGGTGTGTTCCTTCTCACATTCTCTAATAGTAAGCGATAACCATTATTTTTATAAAACCAAAAATACATTATAATAATATATATATATATACAAAGAATCTGTCTCCTAGGTGACTATATAAGCTAAGTGTAAAAGTATATGTATAAACTAAATTTATAGCCTACTTTCGTAAGATGTGTAAAACAATATATGCTTAAACTACCTCTCCAACCCATAGTCTTAAGATGTGTGTAATGTAAGATATACAACTTATCTCTCCAACTCACTCCAGTAAACTAAACCTCATTAAACATATTTAATCAAAATATAACGAGTTTACAGTTTTAGGAGAAATAGGGTGCATTGAATTCCGTTGACTTAAAACGGTTTTTAGCTTATAATTAATCATTCTTAAATCCTCATCCAATTTCTTGATCATCTTGAGTTTTATGATAGTCAGCAACCAAACATTCAGAAGATTCTAGTAACTGGTAAAGTGAAACTCATTTAGAGTCAACAGAATTCTGGACTTTCTCTCCAAACTGTAGTATTGTTCTAATTTTGTTTGCTTGCTTTTATATCATGAATTCCAATATATATATCCAAACATAAGTTCCACTTCAACTCACTACAGCAAGTTAGGATGGATAACAGTACATGTATAAACTACAAAACCAAAATTTAAACCAGTGAGTGTTTTAACTCCGTACCTAAATAAACAAACAGATTAATAAATAAAATTCAATCTTTCTTACAAGCATAGACATATAAATAAATCCCTACTAAAATCTAGCATCTAAAGTGGATTTGTTCTTTAGTAAGGTATGCCTTATTCTTCAGTCGTTTTTTTCGCTCAGCCAAGACGAAATATTTCATATAATCTGTGGTTACAGACCAATCAAGTTTGCTTTATTTATTGTCGCGTCGGATTTCTTCTCTGTCAGTTTAATAATTCAGCAACCATTGATAGAATGTTGCCCAGGGGAACAGATTGCGTGCGTCGCGAGCAGCTGAACGCCAACTCACAGTCTTCGGACGCGGTTATGTACGAACAATACCAAGAGTGCTTTAGTTTGTAAGCCTAATGTTTTTTATTATTATTATTTGTAAATATCTTGTATTCTTTAATGTTTAAAGATCGACAATTGTTTAAAAAAATATTTTGCATTAGTTTAAGATAATTAATAATATTTGTACCAAGAAGTGCCGCCAATGTTTTACATAGAAAATAACTGAAAAGAAAAAAAATGACACTGTTTAAGAAAATAACGTAAGGCTTCTGAACAATTTTAAAGATAAATTCGCTTTTGAACTTCAGGCAGAAAATGGCTAATTCGGTCATAACAAATTTTGTAACGCCTTGGCATCGAGATTAACTTATCTTTAAAATCTGTTGGATCATTGTGGCATTATTATTACTGGGAATTAGATAGCGTGTTGTAAGGCTTAAAGATCTTAAATAATAGCAAATATTAAGTTGGAAAGTATATGTATATATGTAATAGGCTTAGATAAAAATTAGAATGCAGTAGATTTGTTTCACCAAATTATCTTACTAGCTAAAAGATTACTTCTTTATCCATCTGTTCCATGAGTAAACTTTGATAAACTTTTCAGACGCTATCATATTCCATGGCCTTTCCTTTTAATAGACTTAGACAATTTTTTCAGCTTTTTTATGACCTTGACGACTACGCCAGCTTAAAAGGTTGAAAATTACTATCTCCGAAAAATGAAGATGTGAAAAACAAAATATATGAAGAGAAGTTAACTCAGTGAATAAATAAAGGTGTAACTATAAGATAATAATAGGTATTACATTTTGCGTTTATTCTTGGAACTTCGATTTTTTTTTAAAGTTTGGCTCTAAGCAATTTTTTAACTGAGCATCGTATCATATCTCGGGGGGTTTTACTTGGACACCATTTTAGAAACATCTAAAAACATTATGTTAGGTACACGAATTAAACACCATATTAGGAACACGGATTGAACATCATCTTAAAACACAGATTAAACACCATTTTATAAACAGGGATTAAACACTTAAACACAATGTTATGAACTCTATACGAACAAAGATTAAACACCCTGTTAAAAACACGGATTAAATATTTGTTAAATTATTATCTATGCTAGTTTTGAATGTTACCATTTCAGTATACGCACCTTCTAACAAAGGCACTACTAAAGTCGATATTCTAAAAAATGTATGTTAACATGCACAAGTTGTAGTATATAAGCTATCTTTTAGTATCAAATTCCGCAAACGAGTATTTCACACGTGGCTCATTAAGACCTGGTTTTATATGTCATTTCTATACAGAAATGTAACGTTATAAGTATACTTCAGTGGCCTGGAAAATTCCCCAGTTTTTCTTAAACACAAGGTTATTCTTAGCAGTGGTAATAAGTGGTCGCCGTACCATTGGCTCTCTCCAGTAACTGAAAAGGCTCAGTGGTGATGCTTGAATAACTGTGACCATTCAGAACTAAATACAATTAGGACAAGCACAGTTCAGAGACTGTGGCAGATAGAACAATACGGTCTACAGTGTCTTTAGTAATGAAAAAAAACGAAAACTCTCATATTACGACAAAGCAGTGGAAGTGCTAAGACCCACGTAACATATACATGCCTCTAGATCATATAAATTTATTCCTAAGACTAGTTGTTAGTCGTTACCGAGTTAAAAGCAGATTCATTGACACTATAGAATTCGTTTATTGTAATAAAAAATTCACATATCGGAACCCAGTATCTAGTAGACTCTACAAATAATGATTCGTCTATCAAGAGCTTGGCGTGACACAGTGCTTAGCGTGCCCGGCCTGTGAGTCCAAGGGTTCATGCTTCGAATCCCATAACACATTCACACATTTAAGTCTTGATTGCGCTATGAGAGTGACGGTTAAATCCTACTATTCGTCCAGAATAGAGTAGCCCAAAAGTTGGCGGCAAGTGATGTGGACTAGCTTCCTTTCATCTAGTCTATCCAAAATTAGGAACGGCTATTATGCGCAGAGATAGCTCTTGTGTAAATTTGCAAGAAAATCCCCCCCAAAAAAAAACACAACCAGCAATGTATTCTAGGTGTCGTTTTTTTTTGTTCTTGTTTTTTCTTTATATTTAAAATGTTGTCCCAACTATCCATCCATTAGTTTTACACTATCAGATAACGACAGCTGTTTCTGAGTAGTGAAGAAAATCCAATATTTGAATAGCTTTTGTAAAGATAAAAAAAAAACATTTTAAAAAGAAGAAAAAACTTTCCGATGGTACAACTGTTTCTAAACTAATAGGATGTAATATGAAACACATCTTTGCGAAAACAATATGCCATACCGTATTTTAGCGTGAATCGAAATACGAGTCAAAAGAAGGGCCTAAATAATTACTGATGAATGTTTTCTCTTTCTTCTTGCTTGTAATTAAAAAACTATATCACATTCTCCTTACTAAATATTGAAATTAAAAATCTAAAACATGATTTTTGTTATAATACGAAAATAACAGATTTTTATAAGTTTTCTGCTGAGATAATATTACCGGTTCATCGTAAGTTGAAAAGGTGATTTTACTTTTATGATTTCTGAAAAACACATAGGTTCAATAAGTCTTGATTCAAAACGATAAAAATCCTATGACCCGAGCGCTTTCGAATGGTGGACCTTTTTCTTGTTTGTTTGTAATTAAGCACAAAGCTACACAATGGGCTATCTGTGCTCTACCCACCGTGGGTATCGAAACCCGGATTCTAGCGTTGTAAGTCCGCAGACATACCGCTGTGCCACTGGGGGGGGGCGACCTTTCTTCTTCAGGGGCTATAGGGTTTCTATAATTTTTTATCAAAACTGATTTTACTTTTCAGTAATAATGACAGGTTTTCAAAACTGCAGAATTTGTTTATTGTAAACAAAAAATATATCATAATATCTGAACCCATTAACTAATGGTTTCACTGTTCTAGATGTTGTTGTTTTTCGTCTTTGTAAGCTGTTGTCCCAACTATCCATCCTATATCTGACCAGAAGAAGCCCTGAAGGAAGGCAATACTGCTACTGATTACTTTACGACCAGGAATCCCTGGGAAAGTCGAAGGCTTTGAAAGAATTATGACTATTTTGTTTGTCGCAGTCCTCTATTTAACTTAACTCTGAAAAAAACTCACCCTACGTTTTATCAGTTCAGTGGTTGTTTACGACAAATACAACCGTAAGATTGTTCGAAAGTTTCACTGCTTCTTGAAGAAAACATAAAGAGAAAACCAAAAATGCACCCTAGACGTCTTCAAACCGCTAACAGGGAGCTAAAAGTACTCATTTGTGGCTACCGTGTCGAGGACATGGACCATTTTCCCAGCAAATCTAAATAGGCTGATTGCACCTGTTTAAATTGTTTATGAGGGCACTAAAACTGTAATCCTCCAGACCTACCTGTGTCTGAGTTAGGCCTAGGGATGCGGCAAGTTCGGCTCTTTCTGGCAGGGCTAGATACTGCGTTCTTTGGAACCTCCTGTTGAGCTGTTGCAGCTGAAGACTGGAATAGATGGTTCTGGGTTTTCTCATCTTTTTTTCTTTCCCATTTACCCGTAGTGAGTCTTCTAACTGTTTTTTGTCTATCAATATGGCAAAAATGCTCGTTTAATATGACATGTACTATACATAGTAGTCAATATTTATTTAATAATTTCCTTATATTATTGTAAGTTTATTACAAAGTTTGATTCATAATGTGCATAAACCAAACAATATAAGACTATACAACTTAATTTCAATATGCTTAATCGAGTACTTGCATAGTTTATCACCATCTTCCGTTATATTAATAATGCCTAATTTCTTAAAATAATAAAAAAAACTAATATAGTTACTATAAAGAATAAAGAAGAATATTAAATCATCTACGGTTTGTAAAACAATTATATAGTATTTTTTCTACTTTTAAAACTTTTCTCATGGAAAGTATTTTTGTATAAATTGTGCCTTATGCATTAACTGTAGATTGTTGTAACATTGTATGACACTCATACACCTAACACGCTGACTTCAAACTACTTAATTTCCAGTTAAAATTTTGTTGTTATATATATATATATATACTATATTTTGTTTATTGTTACTTCTTCTTCACGTAACACAATCAAGTTTTTGCGTGATAACCTTACTAAGAAAATTCTTCTAATTATGACGATACATATATTTTGTTTATTAAAATCGCAGAGCTACAGAACAGGAGATATGCGCTATGTACACCGTAAAAATCGAATCCTCATTTTAGTGTTATAAACCTTAAACTTACCGCTGAACCATTTAGAGAACTGCTCGAAACAGGATTGAAAAATCAAGATAATGTTTTTGTTGTTCATATTTTCTGATGAGGATAACGTTTTAGGTGTTTATATTTTCTGATAAAGACATTGTTTCAGTTTTAAAAATCCCACTTTAAAAAACGTGATATTTATCAATTTATTTCCTGTAACATCGAAACATATTAACACCTCATGGATGATGCATGTTATTTCGTAAGAGAAAGTGGCTTTTCTGTAAACAAAGTGGCCATGTTTTATTGGCTAGAATATTTTGACGCAATGTATTTGATATTTGAAGAAAACTCAAAGCGAAAACGTTGAAGAATAAAAAGTTGATAAATTAATTTTACTTTCTAGATCGTTTTGTTTCTGCACAGTAATGTGTAACTTTTAGTCTTGGATATTTATTGCTCTGTTAGACTGGACTGTTGTTCAATGAGGATTCTTCTAATAGTCATTCCTTGGATTAACTAATAGTTCTATTATACACTATACATCCTATTCTTTCTACCACTTTACACAGTATTTCATTCTACCACAACCCTGTAAATCCATTTCCATCTATAGTTATAACAGTCTACAGATATCCATCCTGTCACAAACTAACATACCAATTGTTTCACTTAGTTATTCTATCGCAAAATATGTTTCTTTCTATAATTATAACGTTATGCATACTTCATTGTTTCCATAACATTTGATTTATTACTTCGTAAAGCTACCAAGTGTACATCTCTTTCTTCTACCACAGACTTCCACATTCCTTCCTTCCTAGAGCTAGTATGTTTTATATCTCTTCGCCCTCTCACACTCTTGCACATCCATTTTTTCCAATAACTACAATATTGATTATTAATCAACTAAATCCCATCCTTGTAAATCCAGTCTTTTCTATTACAATTCACTAAAGATCATTTGTTAATTATATTACAAAATGTACGCTTCCAAGCAAATTTTTTATAAGTTCATCTTATGATACAATCCACCTTTAACATTGTAATCTGTTCCATTCATTCACTCCTATTTCCCACAATACTCAACACTTCACTTTTATAAGTAAAACAGTCATTCTTCTTTTGTTACACTGTATCAAGTAAAATCTTCTGTTGACAATGACCAATCGTTCACACCGTTCTTCCTACTTTCACAATTCTATTTCTTGGTCATTGATCAGTGTTCTATAACTATATTTCATTCAAAAAGATATTTTTGTGATTTTTTGTCTTGATTTTATCTGTCCTATAATAAAAGAAATAAAATGTAAATATATTTCATTTCGTCACACTCATTCATATTTTTCCTTTTCTAATTATTTACTGTTACTCTTGTGGCAGCAAAATCCATAAAAAAATCAGATATTTCATATTTTAGTCATATTCTTCCTTTCTTTTTAACCTTAAATATGTATAGTTTGACAATTTTATGTTTACATTGAGTAGAGTCAGACATTGAATCGTGATTGAGTATTTTCTGGCGTATAACAATCTTCCAGCTGACGAGTTTATTTATTTATTCTCTTTGCTAAGCTACAAACTCATGGTATGGTGAATATGACAGAACGAAAACAAAAACAAAAATAATATTTGATCACATATCTCTATGTAGAAGATTTCAAAGAAGGATAACGTTTTACCTCTTTTTTTTTCTAAATTCATGTACTTGGTTATATATTTGTATTTAGTGAAATCTTATTACATTTACACAAGAATATGCTTGTTTTCACTGTATCGTACATTGGCCGTCTAAAACAATACATATTAATATAGATAAGTTTGATATTCAAAAGGTTGTTAGGCTTAACTTCTGTTAGACGATCACATTCTCAGATTTGTTTCGTTTCTTAAAAACCTCGGGTTATACAAGTTCCTTGAAGTGTGTACACCTACACTTTCACTCTGTGACAATTATCCAAAACATTTATAAGTAATTAAGCCTAACGTAATTGAAAATGAAGCTCGCCTCTTTAGTTCTTTATGTATCATAATTGAAGAATAGAAAGGGTAAAATAACTATCATACAGCCATAATATATATGTAATTTTGATAGAAAAACAACAATGATGGACGCTAAGCCTATAATAACTGCTTATTTCAGTGGATCTAGTCACGTGTGAGATTATTTACATGATTTTGAAACCAAAAATTAACAAAGTTTCATTTTTTGTTAATTAGAGCAATGTTAATTAACTGTTAAATAATATAACATAAACCATTGCCTATAAACAAATACAATAATGATACAATCTATTCTACTGTTTAAAAGTATTTATTTCGTTATACCTTTAGTGTCTATGACACACGTTTATAAGAAGCGATATATGAGAAGACCCAGAATTAATTATCTTACCGTCTCTGGGTGATGGAGGACATGGAGGACCACAGCTTGTTACGTTCGGCGGGTAGGACCCCAGGTAGTGATGGCTCGGATGGGTGTAAGTGTTGTGAAGACCACTGTTCAGAGGATTGTTGTTCATGGCGAATTGGTAAGCGCCCAGCGACCTAGCATGTTGGCTGCCGGGGAAGGCCGCATCGTGCTGCGGCGCCTGATGGCTAGGATACGAGGACCGTATCTGGTAGGGCTGGGCATGGTGTTGCATGGCGGTCAGCCCTTGCTGCTGTAATTCCATGAAAACAGACTTATTAGCCACGTCCTGATCAAGGCCATCCACCGTACCCGTCATGTTCGGGTAGGGGGTCGAGAATTCCGTGAAGTTTAACGTGATGGCGGTTTGTGTGGAACGTAACCAAGAAAAGATGTAGGGAAGCACGATGTGGTCTTCCCGTTGCTAACGAACAACTACTTAAAACTACCAGCTTTTGCCTCAACACTACTTGCATGAATATTGATAGCAGCACTGCAGCTCCACCTCCATTCCTCTTTCTTACTTACTGATTGGTCGTGAAAGAAAACGCGGCCTACGACGGACGCTCTTTTCTGTCCCCTGGATAAGCCTGATACCTGACTTGTTCAGAGGAAGCTCCGCCTTCATCCCTGTATTATGCCTGAGGGTATAAATGATCCGCTCGACAAAGATGACCCTTCCTCCCCCTCCCTCGAAACACCTGAGAAAGGAGACAAATACGCCCACCGGCTTCTGATGAAATCATATTTTTTTACCACCTGACAGTCAGGTATTCAACACAATGACCATACCGTAGCGGTCATCACTCGTACGCGCTTAAATGTGTTGGCGGTTCAACTTGACGTCATGAAATAAATACGAGCTTAATTCCTTACTATCACCTCGCGTGTGGAGTGATCTACTCTAAACTTATTTGTGGTGTTACATATATAGCAACAATTTGATTCATATCCATGTATATTCGCAACTTGTTTCTGTACTGTGCTTTTAGATGATATTTTTTCCCCGTTTTGCCGTTATAGACATTGCATAAAACGATCCCGAGAAATATATTTCCTGTATTAACATAATGTTAATATTAATATAATAAGAATATTTATATTCATTTTTATATTGATACAGTTCAAAAGATTTTTTTCATAACAACGGGGTGGTTCCGTTTTTGATCACGGGGAGTCTTATTGATCACTGGCTTTTTCTCTGCCCGCTTTCTGAACACAAGGATGTGAGTAGTTAATCAGTAGTAATGTCTCTCACCTGATGAAGTCTATGTAAATAAAAAGTCACAAGTACTTCATTATCGGAAAGTCACGATGCGCCTTACTTATAAACCAAAGTGTTTGTTTCCTTTGATATAGCATCTACCTGAATCAACTCTTGTTTGAAAGGGGGGGAAAGCAACAGCAGTCGGAAATAGCGCAAAACACGTTCCAGCTCGATGCATTCATTCTGCCTACGGTGCCAGTTCCTCGCTAGATTCAGGACGCGTTGTGCACGCAACACTGCTCGCGTCGCTGAGCGGGTCAAGGGTCAGGGGAAGCTGAGGCGTGTGAGGTACGATAGGCTGGTACAATCGACTGTTTAGAAGGGAGACTAAATTCACGCACAACCTGCTTTTCTAAGATACACACAGACTCATAGGACCCATTCACATTAGTTGACGTAGGAAGCCAGCCCACATGCTTATTTACACTCGCTATAGAATATTGGGAGATTAACCCAGGAGGTAACCCAAATGTTGGACAAAAAAAGAGTTGCCGAAACCCACTTTAACATGTCAAGATGCTAAATGAGAGCAAACACATTTTGAATTTGCTATTCAATATTAATAGATTCTTTCATTTTCTCACAACACACAGACTACTATGTATCTAAATTGTTACTGACATAATATATGCATTTTGAGATAATGTTAAAAATCTGGTCAACAGTTAATCTCTTGTTCGTGTGTGTGTGTGTGTGTGTGTGTATATGTGTGTGTTGTTTTTGGTTTCTATGCTTCTAAATTTGAGTGTATAAACTAAAAAAGTAAGCATCTCAAGAATAATATTGAAATTGTTTTCAAGAAACAAAATAAAGAGAAAACGTTAAAAAAATAAAAGCCATAAATTTAAAATTCAAGATCTATAGTTTTAAAAATCACCGAGGAAATTGTTTCTTAAAATATTACAGAAAAACAGAAATCAAGACACGTGGTAGTGTGTCTTTCGGCCAAAAGAGAAGCAAACTGCAGGACACACTGTGTGTTATTAATAGGAGTGATAGTTTAGTGATATTTCACCATCTGTAGTTCGGACTATAGTAATCCAAGCTATCACATATTTTCAGTGGCTGTGCTCTACTGGACTCTTCACATTCCAAATTTCCAGGGAATCCATTAAGAAATACTTGAGATATAACATCTTTTTTTTTTCATTCGCACCAGAAATACGGAAACTTTATTTGACTGAAAACACACTTAACTTTTATGGATTTTTTTTTTCAAATTTAATACACTAGTAGATCTTTACAACTTACAATTAGGAGTCTCATTTGATATAAATATAAGCCACATGTGCAAAGTTATTCAACAAAACTGCTCAAATTTAACGAAAAATTTGCACACGCCTACGTAAAAAGTCACGTGAGCTATTAGTCCAACATTTTTAATACAGCATCATCTAAGAGTAAAAGTGGACCGTTTTTAGTTTTTTGTCATTCAAATTAAAGACGGCTGATTTAGAACAGCAAAACTATAACGTGAAAGGACGTGCAGATACACAAGTATTGGTTAGGCCAAGCAAACTAGATTAACAGTTTATAGCTCAAGTTTTCAAAAGAATCATACGGGTGGACGGTTATTATTCATTGCCAACTTTTCAATAAAAATGCACAAAATTTTATGAAATTATCCAAATTAACAAGCGTTTAGCGTCACGTGATATTAGCTTAAGCAATTAGCATAAATAATAATGCTTGCTACGGCTGTACCGATTGCACGGGGGGGGGGGTGATGAAAAGAAAATGTTAATCTAAATTCTATGGCGTTAGTATAAAGGAAACTATTAACAATGTTTTAGAGAGAAAAAACTACCACCATATATTTTAAAGAATATGTTTGGTTGTGTAAAGGTCTGTTCCGAATAATAGAGTTGCAATCCTAAAGCTAATGTTGGCTACTATCAAGTGCGTGTTCTTATTTGGTGTGGTTTGCTGGTGTGTAATGACAAAAAGTCATGATATCTAATAAAAAACACATTAGTTGTGAATAAAAAAAAGGTGCAGCCAAAAAAAGGATTCAGCGTGCGACGTAAAGGAATGAAATCTAAATAAATAGATATGATA